CGACGGAAGGAAATTACTAATGGCCAGTTGCTACAGACAAAATAGCAATATCTATAATTTTACTTACATGGTTTCTCCTGGAATTTCATCATCTCTTGCATAGGCACTTTTTCTACTCTGTATCAACATGACTAGTCCAGAGGAAATGCAGTATCATAATGATTGACAGTTTTAAAGTGTGTGTTAGCAATAACCGTACACCTCGACACACTGAATAATTATTCGTCTGTTATGGCTCTTTAAAGTCCGCCATCCCTGATCACTTGAATTCCCAAGGGAATTTTATTTGACACTGAAAATAAACATGCAGAGATTGTTCTACCTATATATAGAAAATCTAACGACTTCCATTTACACAAACATTGAAATAGGGTTCATTTGTGCTTTAGTATAACGAGTTGGGTTAAATGATTACATACAGTTTACTACACAAAAACATAAATACTTCATAGTGGTGTTGGGAAGTAGATTTCACTGTATACAAATAATACCAGGAATTACGGATGACCACTGTCACTCTGATCCCGTAACAGAATTGGTCTCTTTTTTGGACAGAGCTACACACGTACATCTGGTGTATTACGGATACCCAGCATTACATTGAATAAAATTCCGCAAGGTGAAAAATTATACTTATTTACAATTATATCTTCCTTTTCGTTTGTCTTTTCCTATAAAATATCTTCCATAAATGCAAAAGGTGCTGGAAAGAAGTGAAGCTAATATAAGTATATATGTATATATAAACAATAAAGTAAAAAATACCTATTTGTTCAGCCTACAACCCATCACTGGACCAGAAGGCACCGACGTAGCACAATTATTATATCTTGTGCGTTCACATTCATTTTTTCTCGGTTACTATCTTCCTAAGAGACATTATTCCCCAGCAAAAAGATGTGTCCTTATCCAAATGCAGCACCACGTTTTAATCTACAGCGCTCACATGATCTTGTCTCACTATCCATTTCTCGAACTTTTCTTCGTGAACTCGTTCTCTAGTGGACAAATATTACATAATCCTGACCGGCAGTAAAACTTAAGCTGGCTATAAAAAGACTTCAGACACAGACGTCTGAATTAACGTTGCTGTCTGTTGGCCTCTCGGTCTGTCTAATGGTTCGTAATCCGAGTCTTGCAGTTCCGAGAGAGAGTCATCGACGTCATCCTCCTCGAGCGCGGAAAGGAAGGACAAGTCCGAAACTCGCCCATAGTCTGTGCGATGAAAGGGACGGCGACTCCTAGGACTCCCGAGCTTATTCGCATCCTCCTCAAGAGAACAAGGCACGTTGAAGATCTTCGTCTGTGGTTCAGGGATGTCCTCTTCTAAGTCTGACACAATATTGTACTTAGCAGCATGGTTGAGTTCGCAATTCGACCCTAAAGTAATGTTATTGGCCAAGAGAATTTCTTCAAAACTGCAAGGATCATCACCATCGATATCATTTTCCTCCTCGTCATCCTCCTCAACATCTATGTCTCTCACGTCAATGGAGAGCAGGGGAGTTGCTGCCGTTTCTTCCTCGGGGTTTCCTACCTTCGTCCCAAAATGATTAAGGCCTGAAAGGAAAAAAACAATTTCCAAATCAGCTTAAGGCAAATCCTGTCTTTTGAATTTAAAAACGGACGAATGAATATAACTACGTGTGTGTGTGTGTGTGTGTGTGTGTGTGTGTGTGTGTGTGTGTGTGTGTGTGTGTGTGTGTGTGTGTGTGTGTGTGTGTATATATATATACATATATATATATATATATATATATATATATATATATATATATATATATATATATTTATATACATACATAGTATATATAAAAATATATATACACATATATCTATATATACACAAATCTTTCCGCGAACAAATACATATACGCGCACGAACGTACGTACGTACAAACACACACAAACACACACACACACACACACACACACACACACACACACACACACACACACACACACACACACACACACACACACACACACACACACACACACACGCATGAGTATAAATGCACAAAATATGTGTGTGTATATATGTATATACACACATATAGGATATATATATATATATATATATATATATATATATATATATATATATATATATATTTATACATCTAGCGCATATATACATACACATGGACATACACGTGCTCCCATGCACACATGCCTTTGGACTCACCCTGCATGAGCGGCCGGCCCTCCAAGGCCTGGTCGTCCGCCCGCGCCGCCGCAGGAGGAAGCTCTCTGGGCAGCAGCAGCAGGTCGGGCGTGGCCGCACACGCTCCGTTTCCTAGCAAAGTCCTGGATCCTCGTAAATCATAGTCGTCCCAGTGATAACCTGGTAATGACGTGAAAGCACAGATCAAGCCGACCTTCCATCTGATTTTAATATTGATAACAAGTGACAATGCTGCAAATGAAATTTAATCTAAGTACTTTCTCTTTTACTAATGACTACAAATGCACGTTTCTATCACACGAATATAGAAAT